GTCGTCGTGCGGCTTCGTTGTCGTGGACCTCAGTGTCGTGGTCGTCGTCGTCGGGCGTCCATTCTAGGTGGCATCGGCATCGTCGTCGCCGTCTAGGTCGTGGTCGGGCGTCCGCTGTGGTCGTCGTCGCTGGGCGTTTTGCGTCTGGCGTCGTCGTCGTGGTCGTCGTCGGTCATGGGTCTATCGTCGGTCGGCGGCGACGGCGATGGCGTCAATCGGTTGTCGTCATTTGGTCTGTCAGTCGTCGTCGGGGTTGTCGTCGACATTGGATGATGATGAGGATGAGGATGAAAATGAGGATGAAAATGAGGATGACAATGAGGATGAGGATGAGGATGATGAGGAGGAGGAGGAGGAGGATGGTGATGATGATGATGATCATGATGATGCCGCTGCTGATGATGATGATGATGAGGAGGAGGAGGAGGAGGATGATGACGATGATGATGATGATGCGGATGATGATGCTGATGATGATGATGATGATGGTGATGATGATGATGATGGTGATGATGATGGTGGTGGTGCTGGTGGTGATGATGATCTTGATGATGATGATGAGGAGGAGGAGGAGGAGGAGGACTGGGATAATCTCCTCAGGACTACGAGAGTCGGAGGGGAGGCAATCACGGAGGCTGTCGCCGGTGGAGCCAGGGCCAAATCCACGACCACGCTCAGAGCAGGCCACAGCCAGCTCGCGGCCCCCGCGTCACGCATGGCACCCATCGGCTGCAGCGCCCTGGCGGCCGCTGCGAGCGCGGGGATCCGAGAGGGTCGGCACGCCGGGCCCCTTCTGGCGCCCTTGGGGCGCTCCCGTCCGGCCCCGGCCCACTGCGAGGCGCGCAAGGAGCGAGTCGGGCGCTGCCCCCTTCAGGAGGAGAAACAACACACACACAGACCCAGGAAAATCTGGGAAAATATGGGAAGTGGGGGGGAAGACAAAAACACAGAGAGTATGGGGAAATATGGGGAGTCCTGTTATTTGTGTCTATTTGTTCGTGTGTCCCAGGGTTCCTTCACCCCTACCGGAGGAATGTTCAGAAGCAGTCATAAAATAGCATGGTGACGTTTTCTCGACGACCGTGCTACTTTTGGGGGGTGTTTCTTTTTGGTATTCTTCCATTTGTTCGTCCAAGATCCGCCTGTGGGGGGACATGCCATACCTAGCGCAAGGACCGGAGACGTGTGGGCCAGCGGCTCACAAGCCCTTCTCCCCCACCAAGCCTGCTACGACGGAGAGAGGAAGACGAGCGCGACGGTGAAGACGACATTCACGACGTGGCAAAGGAAGGCAGCAACGACGAGAACAATGCCTGATCGAACGCCCTTCTCCCCCACCAAACTTGCTACGACGGAAAGAGGAGGACGAGTATGACGACGAGGACGACGTTCACGACGTGGCGAAGGAAGAGAGCAGCGACGAGGACAGCACCTGCTCGACCGGAAACAGATTGAGGGCTGGGTCTCATGGTCCTTGCATGCGACGACTCCTGGGGGTCATGAGCCGCCCAGATGGACCAATGCTGCAGAGTGGTCTGCCGCGCCCAAGGTCCTAGCAAGCGTGTCCAGAACGTAAGAGCAAAGGCAAGCGCAAGGACATTGGCACAAACGGCAAGTATACTGAAATGCCAGAAGGGTGGTTCATGGGACCACCCGCCGCGCACGAACGGCGGAGATCCCAGCAAGGGCAAGCGCAAGTCCCACGACTTTACGGCTATCACGACACCTATTCGTACAAAAGGGGGTGTTCCAAAGATCAGGGTATCCGCTAATTTTGTGGGAGTTATGAGGTCCGCTTCCCTGGCGTAGACAGCATCATTCAGACCCCTTCGCCCTGGAGACCCACGCCCGATTATTTTCCAATTCATGCCGCCCTTCTGGCCGAAATTGATGGCGTTTTGACTTTCGCGCGCTTCGTGTTTCCTCCTTGGGTCCTGGTGTGTGAAGTTTTTTTTGTCGGCACGCCCTCTCGGTGTGGTTTCGCGGCCCAGGTGGTGGCGTGTAGCCAGAGTGCGCACGATACGGTTACATTGACTGAGAGGCACTATAGCCTCACCCCCATCCTCTGTCATTTGTGCTCACCAAGTACGCGTATGAGAGTGAGTCTTCCCGCTCTCTCCTTCCATCCTCCCAGACTTTGTACGCCTGAGCGACGTGTTCGGTTATTGGGATCGGCTTGTCGTGCTGCGTCAGTCGGTCCAGAAGAGGAGGAGGAGAAGGGCGGAGGGAGGGAGTGGAGGAGGAGGAGGAGGAGGTTTCAGGCGTGAATGACGACGAGGAGAGGGCCGGTTTCTGTTCCCCTTTCCCTCCGTCGCCCCCCTTCTCCTCGTCGCATTTCCTATATTTCGAGAAAGTTTGAAGTGTCGTGGAATTGGAATCAGATCTGGCATCGAGGGACAGCAATGACGCCTGCTTATGCTTGAGCTCGCTGCAACCACGCGCAATCCACGGGCGGGGCAACATCGTCATCATCATCATCGGCCATCATCATCATCATCATCAGCATCATCACCACCAAGACCACCATCACCATCGTCATCAAAGCCAGCCTCATCAACAACTTCAACACCCTCATCATCGCCACTATCATTGCCATTACCATCATCGTAATCAGAATCACCATCCTCATCACCAGCATCATCAACATTCGAACATTGGCATAATGAGATTTATCATCATCATCATCCTCACCATCATCAGCATCATCATCACCATCATCAACATCATCATGATCATAATCCTCAGCATCATCAACACAAGATTCAGCATCATCAGCATTAGCAACATCATCAACATCATCTTCAGCATCAGCACCATCACCATCATCAACATCATTATGATCATCCTCACCATCATCATCATCATCATCATCATCATCATCATCATCATCATAATGATCATCACCACCATCATAACCCCTGCTGGAACTGCATCCCCGTGGCTTGCCGTCGGACGCCCGCCTTCGCCAGCATCGCAAGTCATCGTAGCACCATCAGCATTGATCGTCAAAGTCACAACGCATCAAGATTCCCACGCATCACCATGCACTTCGCCATCGACATCCTCATCGTCATCAACATCATCAGCATCATCAGCATCAGCATCAACATCATCATACGTTTCACCTGCATTATGCGTCGTCATCATTACCACACGCATCATCACCATGGCCATCCTCACCAACATCATCATACTCTCCATTACCACCACCACCACCACTACCTCTACTTCCACCACCACCATCAATATCATCATCATCAGCAGCATCGTAAAAATCATCGTCAGCATCATCAATGTCATCATCGTCATCATCATCACCATCATCATCATTCTCATGCTCATCAGCATTATCATCGTCAGCATGATGGTCGGCACCTATCATTGTCAGCATCACCATCGTCGGTATCGTCAGCATCATCATCAGCATCATCAACACACATCATCAGCAGCATCATCATCAACATCAGCAGCATAATCATGTCCATCATCACTGACAGCGTCATCGACATCAGCATCAGCACCATCACCATCATCAGCATCATCATCATCATCACCACCATCATCCCTGCAGGAGCTGCATCCCCCTGGCGGACGCTCGCCTTAACCAGCATCGCAGCACTTTCAGCATTGATCGTCAAAGTCACAACACATCACCATTTACACGCATCACCATCCACTTCGCGATCAACATCCTTATCGTCATCAACATGATCAGCATCGTCAGCATCATCAGCATCAGCAGCAATTGCATCATCATAAGTGTCACCTTCATTAGTCGTTGTCGTCATCATCACCACACGCATCATCACCATGGTCATCCTCACCACCATCATCATACTCTCCATTACCATCACCACCATCAACATCATCAGCAGCATCGTAATAATCAGCATAAGCATGATCATCTGCCTCAGTATCATCGTCAGTAGTATCATCATCATTATCATGCAAATCAGCCTTGTCATCGTCATCATGATGAGCATGGCTGGGGCCATGTCATCTTCCCGGATGTGTTGGCCACCCCCTTCTCAGTTCAAGACGTCCCCTGGTCACTCCCCTCGTCCGCACGCATGCCTCGAGCCAGGAGTTGCGACCCCCCTCTGCCGGCGACTACAGTAGGTGTGGTTATTGGAGCTCAAGAGACGGGGGTCTAGGCAAACGGAGGTCGGTCAGAGCGACGGATCTTGCTGGATCCGTCAGAACCAGGGTTCATTGACTTGGGTTTGCGTGCAGGGTCCTGCAGGATCCTGCAGGATCCTGCAGGGCCTGACTGACCCGGGTTTGGAGTGACCCTGGTCAGTAGACCCCCCAGGCTTCGCAGCGGTGTTGTTTACGGTCGGCGCCGTTGGGGTTTGGGGGTCGCCCCTTTGCGCCACATGTTGATGAGCCCTCGTCGGCGCGCGGCGTCGAGATCATCGCCCGCCCCCCAGGCGCAGGTTGCAAACGGCAACATCTGCAAACCGCACCTTTCGAGCTCGCCGCCTCTTTGCACGCCCCCCGGAGAACGGGACGAGGAGGGCGAGGACGAAGAGGACGAGGCGCACAACCCGGGTGATTTTCGAGAGGAGCATCGCGCAGCATCGGTCGAGGCGAGGAGGAGAAGAACAGGAGGAGGAAGAGAGTTGGAGGAAGAGAACAGTAAGAAGAGGAGGAGGAGGAGACCAGATGGAGGAGGAGGAGGAGGAGGAAGAGAACAGGAGGAGGAGGAGACCAGGAGGAGGAGGAGACCAGGAGGAGGAGGAGGAGGAACAGGAGGCGGAGGAGGACGACGAGGACGACCTCCTCGCACGACGGGAACGGCCTCCCCCCCGCCGCCGCAGCGCCCGCCTCGCGCGGCCCCCCCCCGCGCCCGCCCCCCCCCCCCCCCTCCCCCTCCCTTTCCTCCTCCTCCTCCTCCTCCTCCTCCTCATCCCTCCCCCTCCTCCTCCTCCTCCTCCTCGTCCTCCTCCTCCTGCTCCTCCTCCTCCTCTCCTCCTCCTCCTCCTCCTCCTCCTCCTCCTCCTCCCCCTCCTCCTCCCCCTCCTCCTCCCTGGGCGGCGGTGCGACGGCCGCCCATGGGCGACGAGGATGCGGTGCTCGCCGCCCTCCTCGTCGACCTGCCCGAGGACGTCGGCGTCGGTGTCGGTGTGGTCGACGGGTCGACGCAGCATGGATCCCAAATAGATATCAACATGGGTTAATAATGTTCCGGGATTATTGACCAGGGTTCATAATGTCTCTTCCGGAACATTTTAAATCGGGGTTCTAATGTGTTGGAAATATTGGTTGGGGTTCAGAATGTTCCCCCCGGAACATTACAAACCTTTGTTTATAATGTTCTGGGGCTACCGATCCCAAAAAGATGTTTATAATGTTCCGGGATTATTGACCAGGGTTCATAATGTTCCGGGAATAATGAACTCGTTTTTTTTTGTAAATCCGGAATGATAATAATTATTTGTTCCCCCCAACCCCCGAGTACCCCACCAGGGTTTTCATGTCGGAATATTGACCCGGGTCCATTATCTCCAGAAGGTACTAAATTTGGGTTATAATGCTCCCAGAATATTAACCCCGGGTTGGTTATTATGAAATGATAATGATTGAGCCTGGGGGGCGCCGTTGAAGAGTACGCTCCGGACTGAAAGAAACCCTAGTCCATAATGTTGGAATAATAACCTTAGGTTCATTATTCTGGAAAAATAATGACTCTGCCGGGGGGGGTAGAGCCGCATCCATCCACAGGATAGTAGTCCATAGTGTATCATCTGAAGATAATGAACCTAGGTTTATCATTCCTTGATAATGAACCACGGTCGACGAGGATTTCGCACCTACCCTCGGTGGACGAGGCGCAAGTCGGGCCTGTCCCTCTAATTACAGGGGGGAGGTTCCAGAACAGTCAGAGAATAGTCCGGGGACGACTTAATTGTTTTTGATGTTTGACCACTCGGTGGTATGTTTGGAGCTCTTTTTCCCCAAATATCCCCTTGTAGGGGGACAGGCCCGACCTAAGACTATGGGTAAGAGTGGCCTTTCGCGGGCCCAGTTTCAAGCAGTGGCGAAGCGTCCTGGCTCGCCTATAGCCCTGCCAAACAATGATCGAAGAACCTGTTGTGGTTTCCACAACATGTTCTTAGAACATGTGTGGCGGAGTCTGTCTTGTTTTATCGGGCTTCTGTTCTAAGATTTTTTGTTCTTAGAACATTGTTGGGTTCTAAAAACATGTAGTGGCAGGACTATAGGAATGCCGGGACGGTCGGTACCTGCTCAACAATTGGGTCCCCCGATCGCCGAACGCGATGCGATAGCAGCGTCTTGCGAGCTTGTGTTCGGCCCCCCCCGCGGCCCCCACGAAGCCGCGCACCAGAGGTCACTCTTACCCAGAGTCACTCCTTGCGTGTAGCCGAGAAGGGTCGAGGGGTCAAGTCGGGCATGTCCCTCTACAGGAGGGGAAAATTCAGAGATAGTCAAAAATAGTCAGAGGACGATTTTCTATTGCACCGTAAGGCCGTAAGGGCTTCGCCCTCTGCCGCCGGCCCCCTCTATCAGGATGGGCTGTGTCAGAGCTATGCTGGAATTCCTTTGCGCCGTTGCGAAACAATGTCGGAACCTCCTGCGAGAGCGATTGGTAAGCGGCGGACTCAGGTTCAGAACGTATTGTTGAAAACCGTACTGTGATTGCCGAGTTCCCTTTCGTGCCATGTATTGGAGCAGCGATCTGGAGCTGCTTGAGGCGACGTAGGGCAACATCGCGTGGCTTTGCCTGCCCTCTCGAGATGCCTCTTGGAAGCCTGTTGGGGCGGCTTGGCAGCCACTTGGAGCCCTCTTTCGCCCTCGCGGGGCTGAAAGCTCAAATCTTTGGTTCGTGGTCCCGCTTTGGACCTCCCTTGGCGCCATCTTTAAAAGATCTTGGGCTGTCTTGGGTGGCCCCTGAGCTGTCCTGGTGCCCCCTGGGCCCGTCTTGAGGCTCTCCTGGAGGCTTCTTGGGCCGCCTTGGGGCGGTCTTGGCCTCGACGGCGCGAATACCGTATAATTTACTACAGATCATGGCCTCGAAGGCGAGAATCTTGGGTAATGCACGAGTGATCGTAGCCTCGAAAGCGAGACTGCGGTGTAATCTGAAAGGGTTTACGGCCCCGGGGACTCGACTATTGAAATTGTCGAGGGTGTATGGCTTCGGAGACGCGAATGTGGTATACTTTAAAAGGGTCTAGTGCTTCGGGGACGCGAACATGGCAGAATGTATAAGGGTCTATGGCCTCGAGGACGCAACTATTGCGTACTTTACGAGGTTGTATGGTCTCGGAGACGCGACGATTGTATAAGTTATGATGGATTATGACTTCGAGGGCGCGGACATTGTGTTATTTACCAGGTTGTAAAGATTTGGTGAAGCGAGCATTGCGTAATTTACGAGTGTTCGTGGTTTCGGACACGCGAGCATCGCGTAATGTACGATTGTGTATGGCTTTGGGGACGCGGATTTTCAATACTTGACTTGGGTATACGGTCTCGGGGGCGCGAATATTATATAATTTACCAGGGTTTATTGTTTCGGGGACGCGCGACTATTGCATGATGTACGAGGGTTTCTGGCCTCGGGGTCGCGAATGCTTCCTAATTTACGAGGGTGTGTGGCCTCAGGCGCGAGAGTCTCACGCATTCTTACGCCTGGCCGCCTCTTGGGACTCTCTTGAAGCCTCTTGGGGCCCTTGGGAGCGCTCTTGGGGCCATCTTGGAGGACATCGATCAAACAAGAGGTGAGACCCCCCTCAAGAGGCCAACAAGGGCCAAAACCTTAGTACAACCAATGATGTTGGACGCTCCAACCCCTCGCAAAACCCCCCGTCCAGGTCCAGGGGGGGGGGTATGGAGCGGAGTCAAGACTCCCTCCCTGCCCGCAAGCCGTCTCGCTCACTCCCACCCGCCCTCCCAACACATACGTAGCACCCGGGTCTGGCCCGAGCCTCAGCATATTCAGCAGTCATTTTTGGATGGGCAGCTACTGGGGGCCAATCCGCCGCCGCCGCCGCAGCCTCCGCCGCCGCCGCCGCCGCTACCCGCCGCCGCCGCGCCGCCGCCGCCGCCACCGCCGTCGCCACCGTCGCCGTGCCGCCCGCCGCCGCCGCCGCCGCCGCCCCCGCTGCCAAATCGCCGCTGCCGCCACCGCTACCGCCGCCGCCGCCGACGCCGCCAAGTGTATTCTGTATTGTGTTTGACAGGGATGGTGGGGGGAGGCCGCATCGGGTTGGCTGCGCATGCGCCGAATTTGCAGGCAGAGTGTGTGATTCATGGTTTTTTAACAAGGGATGGTGCGGGGGTGCCCGCCTGGTTCTGGGTTGGCTACCAGTCGCCTGGGGGAAGGGGTGTTTATTAATAGGGAACAGTGATAAACCCTTCCCAGAAGGGTAAAAAGGGTGTGGAAGAGGAAACACCCTAAACTAACCTACGCCCTAAAAAGGGTTGGTGGAATTACACGAGCATCACGGATTCCCATGATTAGCGTGCTAGGAACTGTTGTTTGGGGAAGGATGCAGGATTATGATGGTGCAACAGTTACGTTGATTCGTGGTGTCGAAGTCCCAGGAACGGCATTATGGCACGATTCCGGATCGACAAGACGCAACAGTCAGGTTGATCTGTGGCGTTGGAATCGAGAACAATGTTTTGGCATGCTTCAGGGTCTTCAAACGGTTGTCCTCGAACGAGGCTGATCCCTCAGTGGAAATGAACTCTTGTATGGGGCCTGTGGAGAAGGAGTTTGGAGGGATGGTTTGTCGTTTATTCCAACATCGTCGATGATTCTTGGGTTGTCACTGGTTCTCCTCCTCCGCCTCTGGCGCCTCCTTGCTGGCATGTCCCGCAAACTTGGCACTCCGATTCCGTGACACACACACACACACATACACAAACACACACACACACATACACACACACACACCGTTGGAGTGACGGCTAGTCGGCGGGGGGAAACTATATCGGTGACTCGTTCGGTAGCGTCTCAGTGCCGCTTGCTTAGGTGAGACTCGTGTGCGCCGGAACTCGGGTTTCCCGACGCTTTTTGACGAGAGTTGGTCCTGGGTTTTGACGGTCCGTTGTCCGTAGGATCTTTGCAGCGGGAGTTCGCGTCAGATTTCCGTATGGGTCGCGCCATTTTCAGGATTGCTTGGTCAGGCCAACCCGAGGCCCCCGAACCGGGGTCCTTGCGCCTCCCGACCCTTGCCGGATGCCCCTGATCACCGCGACGTGGCAGGCACCGCGCGTGGGCCTCCCGCCAAGGGGGTGCCGACCAGGGGGTGGTGCACGGGCCCGTTCCTGCTCTGAGATTGTCGGGGCCTCTCGGGTAGATTCGGATGCACTTCTTGGGAGCTCAAATTTTAACTTTGCCCTGGTCTGGCCTAATCCGGCTTGATCCCGCTTCGTCCCGCTTGATCCCGCTCCGTCTGGCTCAATCCCGCTTATTCCCCGTTCAGTCGCGTTTCAATCCGAGGCTCAATTTGGCGTAACAGCCTCCCGATGGGGCGTCATCCTCCTCAATCTTTCCGACGAAGACCTCCCAGTAGTTGCCTCCAGAGGTAGAACGCACATTGTTTGATATTAAAATGTCTGCTTCTGGGGTGCACGATCACCGCGATGTTGAAGGTATCGCATTGGGGCCTTCTAAGGGGGTGTCCACCAGGGGATTTGATCGGGCCCGTCCGCGCTAAAGATTGTCAGGGCTCATCAGGTGGAGCGCTCGTGTTCAGGACAGACATGTCTCTTTGCATAGCTTCGTGGTCACCACGACGTAGCAGTCATCGCAACTTGAGCCTCCCACGGGGGGTTCAACCGAGTGTGTGACCCTGGTCCGTTTTCGCGCCCAGAGTGGCTGGACCATTCAGGTATAATTGACGAGAGAACGGTAACCGTGTATTCCTCTTCCCAATCCACCCCCCACCCCTCCTCATCCTGGCCCCCCTGTCATCTTCCCCGTCGTTGTCCAAGTGGCTCTAGGGGCCCATGGACGCCCCAGGAGTCTTCAGGCGTCTTCGGGAAGCCCCGTGATCCAAGAGTTTCGAGGGCGCTCCCAAAGGCTTCAAGAAGCATTCGGGCATTCCAGGAGACTGAAGGAGACCCCAGGATG